GGGGGGCGGAGCTTATGTACTCACCATGGGATACATGGAATGAAAACATTCCACCCACCTTAACTCTTTCATTTTCCCTCTCAAAGCAGTGCCTTGTAAAGGTGATTCTGAAAGGGGGCTCAGAAGCCCAGTTTAGGCTTGAGGCTGCTAATCTAAAGGTCCATTATTCAACCCCACCAGCAACTCTGTGAGAGAAAAAGGAGGCTATCTGTTCCCTAAAGATTTCGTCTCGGAATCCCTGTGTGGGGACCCTAGTCTTCAGAATTGACCCCAAGGCAGTGGGTTTCCTTGTGTGGGTGTGGGTGTAAAGACACCTTGGTGCTAGGCTGCTGTGGAAACACGTAGGCGGTAAGAAAGTAGCCCTTCAGCGGAGAAAGCAGCTTTGGGGAAGATTTATAGACTTGAGGATAAGGAAGAGGGAGTCTGTCCCCATTACCAAAGCCTGTTTGGTCGACCCTGAATAATGGAAAGCCCCCTTTTTTAACTACGAAAGATTGAGGGAAAGATTGAGGGAAAGATTGAGGGAAAGATTGAGGGCGTTTCTCCAGACAGGAAGCTGGCACAATGCTAAGGGGAAGTACGCATCACAAAAGGACGCTAAGCGGAAACCAAGGGTCTCAAGTTCATTTGAGTGAGCCCAATGGTTTTAGTTTCATTTCTCTCTCACACACGCACCCAGGAGTTCTTCAAGGCCAGGATGGCTTTACAAAAAATAAAGGGTACCATCTTCATCTCTCCCTCCCTGTGTTCACCACCCCCACCGCCTGCCCCCCTCAGGGTGGTCTTTGTACGTTGAAATTTGCATCACACAGAGGGGCTTACCAAACCCTACAGACCGATGAGGCCAGGTAGGAATGGTTTGGATTAGTTTTCCAGCCTGGCACCTTCATGTCGTTCTACCATTCCAGAGGGGCAGGGGGAATGCGCCATCCAGAGCCCTTAAGAGATCAACGGAAACAGCAGCAGAAGGACAAGAAGGTTGCAGACCCAACTGGGTAACAAACGTTTGTACAACTTTGTTCCAATAGCCACAAGTGGTCCCTCCATCGACCCTGGGCTGGAGAGGACCAGCGAAGGTCAGTGGGATCGACGTGTGATTGGAAGCATCGTGGGTTGTGTCCTGGCGAGCCCTCAGTGCCAACCCTGGCTCGTTTCAAAACACGTCCTCCCCCCAAATTCTCACGGAAGCTTCCAAAACTTAAGTGGCTGGTGAACTCACGTGTGGACGACGACCCCTTGTTCTCTAGACAACTACCCCAGGAGCCCTCAGGAATAGTTCAGAAATTCTGATCCGGGATAAACAGTCCGCATGCCTTATCAGCCAGCGCCCCGGGAGCCTTAGGCAAATCCTGAGACTTCCATTCGCCGGGGGCTCTCGCGCTCCGAGACTCGCCGCTTAGCGGGTAACTAACTCTTCCCTTTTCCCTTTGTGGCAAGTTTCCCATCCCAGCGCTCGGGGGGCAATGGCCGACTGTGCGCCGCAGCCCTCCCCTTCGATGCTGGGGGCTCACCTCTGTCCCCGCCAAAGTGTTGTCCCCATCGGTCCCTGGAGCTCATGTTGGATTCGCCGCCCAGGCCAACGCTGCCTCAGTCGCTGTGGTCTTCAATTCCAGTGGCGGCGGCCCGGCGGCGCAACCTATTTCAGGGGGCGGGTCTCGAGATGGGGGTTGGCTGGGGGGCGGGGGGCGGTGCTTGCTGGAAGCGCCCCGCAGGAGCGGTCTGCCGGCGCCCGCGCTTCCGAGCGGCCCCCTCCCCCGCGCTTGCGCCTGCGCGCCCTGCCCAGCACCTTTCGTCCCCCGCGCCCCTCCCGGTCCCCCAAGCCAACTCCCAGGCCCCCTGCCGACCCCATTTTGTGACCTAGTAAGATAGCGAGCCATCTTAAGGGGGAGAAAGACCTTTCTACTCCCATAAAGCGCGCCCAGAAACCCAAAGGGGCAGTGCTACGCGCCCCTATACTCGTCCACGGCAAGGGGTGAGAGCTTTCTTAAGGACCGGGACCCGAACTTTGAACATCAGACACGCGCTCCAAGACAAACACTGCCATCGCCTGGTGCCTATGCTTTGGGCCGCTCTGCCTGACGATACAGGTGAGATTCCAAGGCCAGTCAAGATGGGAGACGGTTGGAAGCAAGTCCCACGAACTGCACAGAAACCTTGATTGGCTTTGCAGTGCTTAGGTTTTAATCACTGGAATCAATAATCATACATGTGTCCAGGGAAGAAGGTTCAAACATAAACCCTTCATTCCTTCTGTGCACAGGCTGTTCGTGGAGATACCTCATGCAGGACTCCGTTCAGCTTCCCAAGGAAAAAAGTCACACTTTTGAGCAGTAAGGATATAAGCAGAAGTTAATGAAAAGTCTTACGTTACCAATCCTGGGTCCAGGTTGTGTCAGCTTCTTCTTTTATTATTTTTTATTAAAGATCATTTTACTGGGGCTTTGTACAGCTCTTCTAACAATCCATACATCAATTGTATCAAGCATACTTGGACATATGTGGCCATCATATTTTTGGAATATTTACTTTCCATTTGAGTCCTTGGTATCAGTTCTTCTTTCCCTCCCTCCCCGCTCCCACCCTCATGACCCCTTGATAAATTATAAATTATTTTCTTTCTTTTGCACCCTTCCCGCCCCTCTCCACTCACCAAATTATTATTATTTTCATATCTCTTTTAAAAATCATTTTATTAGGGGCTCGTACATCTTTTACCACAATCCATCCATCCATTCATCCATTGTGTCAAGCACATTTGCACATTTGTACAAAAGTGGCCATCATCATTCTCAAAACATTTTCTTTCTACTTGAGCCCTTGGGATCAGCTCATTTTTCTCCTCCCCCTCCCTCACTCACTCATGTACCTTGATAATTTATTTTAGAAATTTGTTTTCATGTCTTACACCAACCGCTGTCTCACTTCACCCATTTTTCTGTTGTCCATCCCCCTGGGAGGGGTTATATGTAGATCATTGTGATCAGTTCACCCTTTTTGCCCCCACCTCCCATTTACCCTCCTGGTATCACTACTCTCATTACTAGTCCTGAGGGTCTGTCCTGGATTCCCTGTGTTTCACACTCATCTGTACCGGGGTACATGCTCTGGTCTAGCCGGGTTTGTAAGGTAGCTTCTTGCAAGGAAGATTAGCATCCTGGGAGGAAGGTCATTGACGTGGTGACCGGCTTCTTGCTGCGGTTCGGGGCCATCTAGTCCACTGGGACTCCAAGAGACCCTGTGTGTAGCCTGGTGAAGCACTGCCTGCTCCTCCCCCAGCCTCACTCTGGTTCTTATGTTTGAGCCCATTGTTGCAGCCACTGTGTCAATCCATCTGGTTGAAGCGCTTCCTCTACTTTCAACGTCTTGCAAGGAAGACAAGCGCCTTGTCAGGAAGGTGGTTGTTTCTGGGGTCTGTGGTACCTGTAATTTTTTCTAGGGAAGGAAACCTGCCTGAGAACTCCTGGGAACACAGTCACCAGGAAGAGACATGCACAATGATCACAAGCTAGGAGCCTCCTCCCCTCCCTCCATCCCTCCCCCCCCCCCTCCATCCCTCCACCCATCCCTCCATCCCTCCTCTCCTTCCTCCATCCCTCCTCTCCTTCCCCCCCCACTGATAATATGACTCTTAGTCTGGAGAATTCATTTACCTAGTGCAGGGAATAGCCAGTTTCTATCTCAGGCTAAGAGCCTTCAGGGGGAATGCTGCTAATATACTGACCTGGAAAGTCGGTGACTGTCAAGAGCAGGGAAAAGCATGTCCAGTGGTCTTGACCTGCTGCTTATAAACCTGGGTTTTGTTGTTGTTGTTTTTTTAATTAAAAAACTATTTTTATTGGTAGTTAATAAATATATAAAATCTGTTTTATCAGTTATCAGGTCAGATGCTTATAGACATCCTCCCTGAAGGCAGTTAGTCACCAGACTACATGGTAGGCCCCGCTCCCTGCTGTTCAAGGACAATGAACAGGCTTGCAGTCATAGATTTGGTTCCTGTAGGTGGAGTTCACACCCTACCGATAATGGTCTCTATCAGGTGAGCCAGGGAATCTCTATCAGTTGAGCCAGGGAACAGGTCAAACCAGCTCTGTGGCATCCAAAGTTAGGCTTTCATCCTGTACCAGGATCTGTCCATCTTGCCACATGTATACCCCCAATCCCTCCTCTTCCTATTGTGTGGGTACCCCTAGATCACCCCCTCCCATTACTGCATTACCTATAGCACAACTCCTTCCTGTGACATATGACTTCACCTGTAATTAGGGGGCTTGCATATTCCCAGAGAATATAAAAGCCTTGGTTAGCATTAAATATCTTTCTCTCTCCACGTGGACCACCAAGCCGGGCTGAGGTGAGCATGCTACAATGAATTGTATCTGACTCCATTATTTCAATCCCTCTCATCTATCTCTCATGCTCTAAATGACTTCACTATAATCTTTACTTATTATCACTGTACAATTGCACCTACCAGACCCATAATGATGTGCTAGGGGCTGGCTTCCCCTTGCAATCAATGATTCCTGTATTAGTCTGGGTACTTTAGAGAAACAAATCCACAGAAACTCATGTATAAGAGAGAGTTTTATATAAAGGTTAAGTGCACATCAAGAAAACATCCCAACCCAGTGCTGCCCAAGCCCACATGTCCAACATTAACCCATTAATCCATATGTCCAACACCAATCCACAAAGTCTTCCTACATCTCACAAAACAGACACAACAATGCCGACTGCAGGAGGAAAGCCAAGTCAGTGAACGTGTAATCATCTCAGCGCTGGCAGGGGTCCCCACACTGGTGCTCCAGCACTCAGGGCTGCATCAGGGTAGGTCCATGTGCCTTCTCCTCTGTGATGTCTTGCAGGAAGTGAGCCTTGCAAGATAAAGCAGGGAACTGGCTAAGGCAGCCGCACTCTGGTCCGACCATCACAAAGCAAGAGATCGAGAACTAGAAAGGCGAGGCTCACTGAGTCATGTATCCCTCCGCCCTCCAATTAATCCCACATGTGTTATGGGCCAGGTTGGCACAATAAACTAACTACCTCAACTCCCCTCTAACAAATGTGGCTGGTTTTGCTGATATGTGTTAGGCGGTTTTTATTCCTTACACCTGTGGTAGTGTTCTTTTGCCAGGGTCCCTTTCAGGGTCACAGTCTATTAATGTTTACTTTTTAATCTTACAGCAGAAACCCAGTTAGTTCTACTCTGGTCTCTCGGGTCACCATGAGTCTAACCCTCATTGGGATCTCACAAAAGAGCTTTTGAAAGGATGAATAGAGGAATTAAATGGGTGTAGTAATAAGTGGGAGGCCCAAGTGTAAGGAATCTCCCGAACGTGGAGGAGTCGAGGAGAAAAATGTCTGGTGTAGGCATCAATAACGGCTTGGATTTTTTCCTTTGTAGAGCTCTAAAAACAAGTGTCACCATGAGAGTCATTGACCAGCGGCAACACCTAATAGATGCCAAATAAAACCTCACTGAATTGTTTCAAGAGGAAAAACCAGGCTCCTAGTGATGAGCAAGAACCAATGGTACTGAAGGAAGAAGTCCAAGCTGCTCTGAAATGATTAGCCAAACACAAAGCGCCAGCAATGGATGGGATACTGGTTGAAATGTTTCAACAAGCTGATGAAGCACTGGCAACACCTGTTTGTGTATGCCAAGACATTTGGAAGAGGGCTATTTGGACGACTGACTGGACATGATCCATATTTGTGCCATCCCAAAGAAAGTGACCCAATCGAATACTCAAATTATAGAATCTGCTGAAGACTTCTTTAGAGTATTGAAAAGCAAGGATGTTACTTTGAGGACTAAGGTGTGCCTGCCCGAGCCAGAGTATTCCAGTGGCCTCATGTGCATGTGAAAGATGGACCTTAAATAAGGAAGCCTGCAGAGGAAATGATGCACTGGAATTGTGGTGCTATCGGAGAATATTAAAAGTATCCCGGACTGCCGAAAGTGTTTGGGCCGGGTCCGGATCAGGCAGCCCCCATTTCCCAGACGGCACCCCAGGAAGCAGTTTATCTCTCCAGGCTGGGTTTATGTAGCCCCTTCCCCCAGTACTCCAGGGAACAAGTTTGCAAACAACAAAATGACTTCTCATGGACCACATCCTGACTCCAGACCCTGCAGTTGCAGCAATAAAAGCCTCCGCTCTTCTTGTTAACATATGCTTCCTTAGCTTGACTTCCCTGACCTAGCTCGTTAGGAGTTTTTCCTTGCCTCAATAAAGTCTTTCCTTACTTTTTATTCTTGGGTGAGCTCTATCTCCCTTCTGTGCCTCTGTCTCAACCTCACAAAAAGGACAAACCAGTCTGTGTTGGAAGGAGTATGCCCAGAGTGCTTTTTAGAGACCAGGATGGCAAGGCTACATGTTATATACTTTGGCCATATTGTCAGGAGGGACCAGTCATGGAGCAGGACTGCCAGAAGAAGCCAGCTCCTAGCACAATCACTACGGGTTCGGTAGGCGCAATTGTACAGCGATAATAAGTAAATATTACAGTAAAGTTATAGAGAGCATGAGAGATAAAAGAGATATATAGAAATAAATGGAGTCAGACACATATTATGATAGCATGCTCACCTCAGCCCCGCTTGGTGGTCCACGTGGAG